GGTTCTCTTCGGTTGTTAGCGCTGAGCTGAGCCGAAAATCGTCAATGACCTTTAATGTTGGAATGGCGAACAACCAATTTCCCTCCAATGAAAATTGAAAACACAACTGCTCTTTATGACTGTCTCCTCATTAAATTACCTATTTAATCTTATCTGAGTGTTATTTTTAAATTAAACGTCTCTGTTTCAAAGAGCGACCAAAGCCAAACATTTTTATTGCAACGCATCCTTTCTGCCATGACCATCAACCGAAATTACTTCGGGCTATTTTTATATGACGATAGTTAAAACTAAAATATTGCATGTTGGACTGTTTGAAAAATATTTTTGTCGGTTGTTGATTTGTGCCGAGACCAACCGATACAATGGCACTGCTCACTTTATCTCTGTAATCGTGTGTGTATGTGTATAGTTTCAACCAATGATATCTTAACTCCATTTATTTTCGACGTTTTTATTTTCTCTCCGGCCCTTGTTCCAACTATCTGCAGATAATAAAAATGATTTTGGTGTAAAATATAGCAGTTGCCGTCCGATTGATGATGTTTCGGTTGTGTAATATTGGCTACCCTTTGTAATTACAACGGCGGTCACCATTTTTTATGGATTTCATTGGAAATTTGTGTCCCTCTTCCGAAATGTCAACCGAAAGCGATTTTCGTTTGTCTGCCACAAGAATCAATGAAATCGAGAGAAGCAGAGAGAGAGAGAGAAAAAGGAAAAAGGACTAAAAACCAATAAATAATTATGCTGTTATCTACCGGGAAATACTTAAAATTGATAATGAATTTTTCTTCGGATTGGTTGCCACACGACATCCTGGCATCGAAATGTAAATTTCTCTATTCTCTAAATTGAATTGAGATGGTTTCTCTTGCTTTTTTTTGCTTTGATTTCGGCAAACGATAAAAAAACGTCATTTATTATAGACACAATCTGAGCAACGTCAACTTGGCCTTTGGTCTTCTCCATCCACCCAAACAACAACAGCAACATCAAAAAAGGACCTTTTCTACCTGCTTTTCAAAAACTTCTTTTGTTTTTGTTGCCTTTTTCTTCATCTCGTTTGTTCCATAAAACATGGCTTTGGTCCAGGGGAATTGATATGTTTGACTTATTTGTTGTTTGTTCTTTTTTTTTCTCTTCATCGTGTAGAAAAAATTGCAACATCAAAATTGTACAATATGGTTAGAAATTTCCGTGAATTTCATTTGATTTCTCAATCATTGAAATGTGCTTCCAAAAATATTGATGGCATGTTTCGTTTCGTTAGATTGTTGTGGGTGGTCTGTGCTATGTAATCCGGCTTTCGAACTGTGACCGATGTAAAAAAAACCTGTGGAAATGTCCGACCGAAAAGCAAATAAACCACATGAACGAACAAAAAAAAATTGAATAAAATCAGTAAACAAACGCATCTAAATCAAATGAAAAGAACAAAAAAAAAAAGAAAACTGGATTCGAGACCCAAAACTCAGCTGCAGTCATCGGTTTGACTGAAGAAGAAAATGAAATCTGGTGAAAGAAAAAGGCGAACAGGGAAAAGAACAAACAATAAAATGTCATAAATTACTTTATTATGATTCTATAAAGTGTGCAACGCGTACGGTCACACCTAAAACACGCACATTTCGATTCGATATGTCACTCAAAACGCAATTTATTTTTATTGAGATGAGCATTCACATTTTCTTTTTTTCTACGCTTCTTCTTCGTCCATATTCCATTGTGTTTTGCTCTCCATCACCATCGCTGGTTAAATATTCCGTTTTTGCTTCGCGTTTCAATTCAGAAAAAAAAAGTAAATTTAATGTGTTTGTTTTCGTGCCATTGTGTGGCCTGGCTTGAACCCGTTTCATCTCTCGATGCGAGTCACCTAGATTTTTATTATCTTAATTTATTGGAGGAATGAACAACACAACCGGCAACTCAAGAGTTGCGACCACTTTGCCGCACGCAATAAATAAATGAGAATGGAAAAAAAGGAATTCCAACCGATTCGGTTTTTTGAATATTATTAATTGAAGAGAGACAACTCGTTACGTATGTAAATAAAATGTCGGTCGAGTGAGCCGAGCCAAGCAGAACAGAACACAGCCGAGTGGATATGTCGGGAAAAGTGGCCGACAGAGTTTGGATGCCGTTGTTAAAGTGCCACTCATCCGCATTTTTTTACGGTCACCGACGAAATGTGCATTAGAATCGAAAGCGTGGATAAAATAACCACGCAACTTATAAAATATGAATGTCGTGTTTTACACTTTGGGTTCGTTTTGTCTCTCGCTTTGTCTCTTTCTCTCTCGCTCGCTCGCTCGCTCTCTCTCTGGTTTGAAACGAACCGTTTCGCAGCATTTTCCGAATTACACGGTTAAGTTTTGTTACCACACTGTATTATCATGCAAATGATGAAAGCGCGCGCTTGCTCGCTTACAAGTGAATGGGTTTAAAAATTATGGAAAAACTAACGCTTCTTATAATAACCTATTTATATCTACATGAAGCATCCTCTTCTTGACACAGCAGCCTCTCTTCCGAGCCATCCGCTGTCGCTAGCTCATCCCAGACGCACACACACACACACACACACACAAAGTGTGTATCATGTACATGTTATGCCATGATTTAAAATGAATAAATGAATAATTTACCTGAAAAACAGCGGGCTTTTTTCGGTATTACATCTTCATTTAATGAAAATATGAAATTCGTTGCGTTTCTTTTTTATCTTCGTCGTCGTTCATTCTCTTCACTCATTTTGGTAGTGCTACTGCTGCTGTTGCCGATGTCGTTGTTGGTTACGCCGGTGCAATAAATTAAATGCGGTGTAAGTAGCAAACTATTCGTGTGATTCTGAGCGAAAGGAAAAAGATAAATATGAACAACGAGAACAAGAAGTGAAATATGTTTGTTATATGGAAAAGTGGTTTAAACACACCGTCGCCTTGAACTGCATGGAATTTAATGTGATGGAAATAAATCTAGTGGAAACTTACATCTCGATAGAAAAAAAGACAACGAAACGAGGCAATGGCGGCGGCAGCAGCAACGATGACAAGAGAAAGCCGAATAACCATCGTTGAAAGTTGGTTTTTCGGGCGCATCTCGTGAAAATGCTAATTAACACAAAAGGATGTAGTACATCTGCGTACCGTGTCACAGGAGTAAGAGTTGCAAATGAACGCATTTTCATTTTTATTCGCTTACCATTCAGCCAGCTGTTGGATCACATGCTCACTCTCTCACCCAGCGCTATCCATACGCTTCGTTTGCTCAATTCACAATTCAACTCAAGCGCTTGGGTTGATGTTTGAAAAAGCGCACTAATTTCACTATCCATCTCTCTCTCACCCTCTCCAGCTTACTCTCACCGCTTGTTCTTCATTGTTTTTGTTATGGCGAAGGTGAAAAGTGGTTAAAGTTGAAGGTGAAACATTTTGTGGTTGCGCTAGTTAATACGGCAGCTTTTCATCGTTTCGGTTTAAAATTCGTTATCACACGCTATATCGTCAAGCGTTAAGGATTCACACTCTTGATCTTTGCCATTTGCCAGCCACTGTGCTCGGCTTTAATTAATTCAATAGATTAGAACAAAAGCACTTGAGCACAACTCTCCTTCTCGGCAAGGCAACAATCGGCAAAAATGTTTGGTTTGAATTCAAACATTTTCCACATCACAAATTCAAAAACATTTTCAAATCATTTTAATTACTTTTGATAGTGTTTTTCCTCATCGTTTCCGTGTAAACTTGCACAGATGCGTTCAATTCCGAATGATGATTAAAATTCATATATTTTCGGGGCACATTTTGCCGTTAGGAATTTTAAGACGAGTTCTCCGGATCATCTTGCCGAAAATATCGAGCAAATTAAAATTTTGGTGGTTTTTGCGTATATAATGGCTTATCCAATTCAATTTGGTTAACAGTGAAAATCGAATTTAAACATTTTCCAAGCACACTTCCGCCTCTGCGCGCTCTCCTAATTTGCCTCTGAGCAAAGTGTGTTGTTATTGAGCAAGATGAATGAGACGAAGAAAACTTTTGCAATAGCAGTCATCTAGAATAAATTGAATGAATCCGGCGAAGGGGCAGAAGCCAATTTTCGGCAAAACATATTTGCCATTATCTTCATAACTATATATATTGGCCTTGAACAGCGTACCATCACATCGATGTTATAATGGAAATTGATACGCATACACGTTTCAAAAGACACGCTCACGTCAAAGGGGTGGATGGCCAACAAATCCAATCAACTGACAAAAATGCCATTAACTTTTCGATTACAACGGCAAATAGTGGAAATAAACATTGAAATTTGGCATTTGCCTGCGTGGAACGCACCGTGAACGTTCATAGAATGGTAATAAGAATGGGAGCGTGAAAGTGTTTGCTACTTTTGTGTCGAATATTCCATTAAGCGTGTATTCCATAATATCATCCCCATCCAAGTTATTATGGATATTCGTAAAAAAAAGCGCAAACCATGGTAAATGACATGGCAAATGACGTTGTGAATGAAGCGTCATCCGCCGAATCGATTTCGGATGTTTAAAAACAAAAGATTTATCGGATTGAACATCAACGAGAGCAAAGATGATTAGACAAATGTTTTTAGTAAATTGTTTCCGGTGCTTTTGTTGCGAACATCAAAAACCCGGGCGAGCAGCTCAATGAATACAAAAGGCAAATCTCTGCATCAAATCAAACCTAATCTATATTTCATGCGAATGTACAAAGTGTCATTATTCGCATTCGCTTCGAAACAATGTCTGATTAATTTATTAATTATTAATGCGTTTGGGATGAGCGTCGTCGTCGTCGTCGTCATTGTCTCAATGAGAAAATGCTTCCAATCGCTACAACAACGAACTACCCTTTGTTCACCGGGCAAAGAAGATTACTCTTTTATTTTTCTCGTTTCTAAAAGGCATAAAACAAAGCAAGACAAATTAACGCATATATTCTTATTATTTTGCCTTTTGTCTTTTACTTACACAGGTTTGGATTATCCGAGGATAACTGAGCATCCATTAGATGTAATGGTGCCGCGCTACGAACCAGTTACGCTAAATTGCAAAGTAAGTTATTTGAATTTTGTTTACACACGAAATAAGGTAGACTAAACGGCGAGAAAAAAAAAAGAATGAGTTATGTGTTGCATACGTGCACACACTTGTTAACAACAATCTCGGTAGTTTTTGATTGTCAAATCGTTTTTCCATTCGTTTAATTGGTTTCCAACTTGGACATTTTTTAGGCAGATGGCATACCAACACCGACAATCACTTGGTACAAAAACGGGGAACCGCTTAAAATTGAACAAGGACTACATCGCATGATTCTTCCAGCTGGCGGACTCTTTTTTCTAAAGGTAAGTCGATAGATAGTAGAAACCAAAAACCGCATACATTTTACTTTTCAATCCACAGTCACAAAACTATCTGTATCTGTTTATGACATAAATTAAGACATTCATTAGCTTTGAAAATTGGCCTCTTCAAAGTTCATTATCATACGTAGCATATGTCACTCATTAGTATGACGGTAATTCTGAAAAAAGGATGCGCGCATATATTCATTTCACTGAAACAAATAAAAGTTTATCGCGTTAAAAACGATGCGACAAATGCTGTTGCACGCCACTTTATCGCATCGTCGGGCAAATAAACGAGACACAAAGAACGAGGATAAGAGTCAGGGCGGAGTGGATAGAGAGTGAAAGAAAGAGACGCCACAAAAACGAGCACCATTTTCAGTCTGACTTGTAATCGCATTTAGTACGACACAAAGAATTTCGTATCAAACGTTTATCCCGAAAATAGAATATAGCAGTCGTCGTGGTAAGACTGTCAAGATGGTGTTCTGTCATGTGTTTTTTTTTTTTTGAGTGTCACCGCAAAAACCCTCCCGAAATCCTCCCATCTTCGAACTGATCGTTCTGTTAAGCAATCGGCTGAATGTGTTTCCGATGGACGAGAAGAAAACCACATTTCATAGAATTGGACATGGATGAGTAGCTAGCTTCACCAGCGTTAACTTCATTGAGCACGTTCCAAGCGGCCTTAAGCAAATTTGCTTGTAATCAGAAATCGTGTTGGTTGCCATTGACAATGGATTTCGGTTTTGTTATTTCGTACGTGAAAATCGTATGGCTCTGACACTTTTCCTTTGAACTCACTGTTCACTCCGAGACGTTTTTCCCTTCCATTCATTCCCAAACAAATGATTGCATCTGTTTTATGCGTTGCATTGAAGAGCATCGAATAAGATAGTTTCAGTTTTCTTCTTGAAGTGTTCCATTTTTCTTCGCAATTGTGCACAGTCATGGTAGTCATGGTACACTGTTTTGAAACAACTGATAACATTGTCTCGTTCGCTTTGCACCAAGCAAGAAAAAAACACGAAGAAAACTATGTCAAAATGCCAAAATCTACAGAGAGAAAATATTACCAGAGAAATATTGCTCATATTTCGGCGGCAACTGGGAACAGTTCAGTTGTGATTTTCCGTGTTGGATGAACCAAAAAAAAAGAAAGAAAAAAGAAACTCATTGCAAGTGAGACTTGCAACAATTTCACTGACAAAGTGCGCTCGTATTTGAAGATAGTTCATTTTGCTCGTTGTTACGGGCGAAATTCATATCTTTTTGTTATATATGTCTCTCGGTTTATCGCATTTTCGGCTAAAGACTTTTCCAGCTAGTCTTTTTGACTGGATGGTTGTCTGTACGTGAATGCGCTTGCCACTTCGGCTATTATAGCGTGGAGTTTCATGAGCACACACTCCCCGATGCACACTCACACACACACATTGTATTCGAATTTATGTGTATATTTTCGGAATATTGTTGTTATTCATGGGAAATTTGAAAATATTAGCAAAACCATGGGGGTTAACATAGTCTACAATGTAACCAAATATGAAAGCCGAAAAGCTTACGGTTTCCAATTTCATTGTACTACTTCTGCTGGTTCATATCGGGTGCGATGAAGTCAAATGAGTGTGTTTAAGTTGTCATAGGTACAACCGCAGCTTGAATATGAATAAACCTAATGTGGCATGTAGAGGCGAAAAAAGAGAGAACAAACCTGACACTGATATTACCGGTATTTTCGCCATAGAAATGGATTTTTTTCTGTTCATATTTTTCAATTTAAGACAAGCAGCAAAAATGAGAGAAGATTGGCTGAGCAAAAGAGAGAGAGAGAGAGAGAGAGAGAGAGAGAGAGAGAGAGAGAGAGATAGAGAGAGCATGTGCGTGGTGGCCCAATTCATCAAATGACTTTGTTAAGCAAATATTCATCGGTGGTGCGGTTTCTCCAAGGGTGGCTGCTTGTTCAAATGAATTTTCTCCCCAAAAAAATTGCCCGGTAATAAGATGTGTGACGTTAAACCATATATGTACACATTTTGTCGAAAAGTGTATAATATCACCCTCTTGTGATATGAAGCAGCAACATATATGCAAATGCCATGTGTGTGTGTGCGCCACAACCAGCACCAATTTGCCACTCATCATCCAAGCCCAACATTTATTCAGATGTGGGTTCAAACTTTTCTTCCTTCCTCTCGCTCTTACTTCCATCTCTCTCTCTCTCTTTCACTCGGTTCTCGGCTCTCGACAACAAAACAATAATACTCGCAACAACATTGTAAATGTGAATTGTAATTCACATATCATTTTAAATACTCGCAAACAAACTTGCAGTGTCTTGAGTTTCTCGCTTGTGCGCCATTGTTGTTGTTACACAGAGAGATGAAATCGTAATTTTATTACCGCTGTTCGTTTGGCAAACATACGGTTTACGATGCTGGTTTCAACCAACTTATGGTTCGAATTTGGAAATTGTCTCCCTCTGTGTGTGTGTATGTGTTGGTTGTTGTTGTTGCCGTAGCCGCCTTTCGTCTCGATTCCAACTCATAATAACTTTTGTTTTGTCATTATCGTTAAACGTGCAAATTCACCTGACTTTGAGAGACAACACAACTACAATACCATGGATTATGTGGAGGAAACAAAGGATTTTGCTCTTTGAATTCTACGCAAAACATTTCATTTCGAATGAAATTTACATTTACAAAGCACCAAATAGGATGAACGATGGCAACAATTAAATTGCGTGCAGACACACAAAACATACACAACATTCTTGATAATACCTTTGTCAACGCCAATCGCACATATTCATCTCGGATTTTTTTTTGCTTAGATGAAAAAGGGAAAACCGATCTCAACATCTAATTAAATCTAGAAGAAAGAAAATCTTCTGATGAAATGGAGAAAAAACGATTTTTCACTGAAAATTTGTTTTTTTTTCATATAAAATCTCTTCCTTTCGCAATTACCGTCAAACATTTCTTCTTTCAAACATGTCTACTAAGAATTTTTACCTAATTTTATCACCCAAAAATGTCACTCTTTGATTGTCTTCTCCTTCGGTCACTGTTCCCTCTGCCAGTAATTTTTCATATCGATTCATTTAATAGAAATTCCTGCGTAGTTTTGCATTGACAACGGCCAAAAATGGTGCAAAAGTGACACAAAAAATGCGATAGTTGTTCCGTAAACTGTTCCATTTTCCGCCCTTTATAATCCGATGGTATAAAAGGTTTATGCGGCGTAGGAGATATTTTCAACTTTTAACGTAATAAATCAGTCTACACTAAATCCTTCGAACTGCATTCAAGTGAATCCTCTGCAATGGAGAGAAGCGAAAAATGTCGTTCACCTGAAAAAAAAAAGCCCCGTCCATATTTTCACAAGGTTGAAAATAGTTTTTTGCTTGATGCCCGCCTTCAATTTCTGCGCGCCGAATGAAAGGGTTGTGCAATGACGAAAGACATGAAAAAAAGGCGAGCGCAAAATGGAATTCAAACATTAAATTGGCATGGAAAGTTCAAAGAGAGACATTTTTATTAAAAACAATATTTCTCCAGCGTTCGGAAACTTTCTTCGTTTTATTCACTGCACTCAAAACCATGAAATGCACTTTTTATCGGGAAGTGAGACGAGAAAAAAAAGCCCGCACATTTCGCAATATAAGAACAATTCTGCAAATATTGCGATGCTCTGATGCACCTCCGGTTTCGTTGAAATGAACGAAAAAAAAACCTGTTGAAATATTTTTAATTAAATTGTTTTTATTCCGAAATTCTCTCTGAGTCGATGTTCTCGATCCGATTTTTCCAAGCATTTTGCTTGGTCGCTCTCTCCAGAGATGGAAGATGCATTAGAAGAAATTGAAGCTTCTCGAAGCTTCTGTTATTATAAGTACATGATGAAATAATATTTGTGCAACATTCAAAGAGCTCGTGTACGCTTGTTTGAACGTTCGATTGTTATTTCATGGCAAATTTTTGTGTTTTTTTTCTGCATTGAATTATTCCCACTATTATTCTATCTCTTGCAATTTTCTTATTTTCTGCTATCTTCCAGCCATTCAACATCATATTATAAATTTTTGTATCGAAAGAAAGGCGCTCTCTGTTGTTTTTTTTTTTTTGGTTCATGCATTCATTCGAATATTAAATTCTTGATAAATTTCTTTTATAAACTCAAAGAGAGCAACTAAATTACCAATTTTTTTTTCCTTCTCTGTTCTCAATCTGTGCATAATGTGCAGCATAATGTAAATACTATTATTTACTAAATTGGTTGAGCTTAGTTTTTGTAAGAGTGGCCTTTGTGCGCACTTGATGTACATTACACAAATACCGAACAAAGTTCAGCTGATGGCAGGCAGAAAAAAACGCAATTTCTGTTCTCTCTTTATTTTTACCATTTTTCCGGGTGCATTGTAACTCATTGATTTTGTCTATCAAATGCCGCACTTCAACAATTTTCAATCATTTGATCGGGGAAAATGCACCATTTCAAGTGCACCATCGAGTGCGCACACTGTTGCCTATAGACTGTTGCTACATATCGCATAGCAAAAGCATCCAATTTACGTGCTATTTATTTGCAGCGTATGAAAAAGTTATTATTTTTATGGCAAAGACTATGTGAGCGCTGAGTGTGGTAGGAGTTGGTGGAACAATGAAGCGTGGAGAGAGTTAATGCCACTTAAAAGCTTTCTTTGAATCCGTCGAATAGATAACGATCCCCAACGTTTGATGATTTATTGTTTGCTCGTTGGCGATGTGATCATTTTCACGATTTTTCCATCGAATGCAACCCACACACACAGCGACAGAGACATGCATGTGCCAGTGGCACATACAGCACAGCAAACTTAATATCATATGTGCGGCAGGTGCGCTTCCGTGAAATCCCCATTGAAGCGTTACCATGTGAGCTGCTGCTACTGTTGTTCAACTTATAATGGCATTATGCATCTTCTTAATTTTTACTATTATCGAGCAGACAATAAATCCAAACCAACACATTTGCCCTCTCTCTTCCTCTCTCAAATCAATGGCATCTCATAATAATGAGGGAGCATCGCTGAGCGAACGAACAGATAAAGTCAAAATAATTAATAACAATTGAAAAATTCTTTGTAACAAAAATGAAATTATATTCTTCAGTAGTTTTTCTATTTCTAATGATTTCTCTCTCTAGCTTCGCACACTTTTTAATCACTATAGTATTTTCTCCGGTTCAATTTCAGGTGGTGCATTCGCGACGTGAAAGTGATGCTGGCGTTTATTGGTGCGAGGCTCGCAATCAATTAGGTTCAGTGCGAAGTCGTAATGCAACATTGCAGGTTGCAGGTAAGAATCAGACCAATTTATCATTTTCAACAAACACACGTACGTACGTACGTTGGAGCGTGAGCGTGAATCTTGAGATAACAAGGAACAACTCGAAAACGTCGTACACATTTCATTCCAAGAGGGAAAAAAACGGCACAAATCGAAATTGAAAATATGAGGTAGTAATACCATTTCATTGGAAGTGCGATGGTCTCTTGTGCACCGGAAACTTAACCTCGATTCCACTGGTTTTTTTTTGTATGCATTCAAACAGCGTGGGATTTATGATTATAGAGATGATTTATACAAGCAGCGAAAGATCAAATATTATATGCACGGCCAACCGTCTCAGGTGTATATTTGCTTGCGCGCCGAACAAAAACAACCGACACGTCTTTGCATAGATATATTCAAAACCTTTTCCGTATCCAGTTTTTGTGACCGCTTTGATTTTTTCCCTTTTGCTCTTCTCATTGTCACTTGATTCGTTTCTGGCTCTCTCTCTCTCTCTCTCTCTCTCTCTCTCTCTCTCACTTCTTTTTCACATGTGTCTAACTCCTTTTTATTCTGCTCCGGCTGCACCACACCAGATCGACCTAATAAAAATGCAAATTTAATCAAATAAAGTATGCAAAGTAAAATTCTTTGGCACCCTCAAACGAAACGTGCTCTCGCTCTCACAATCTGTTGAACAAATATCGAGATAGCAGCCAGCATAGATAAAAGATACACGCAACCGAAAAAACAATACTCCCAACCAAAATATTATTGGCCAGTTGGCAATGTTTTCGGCATTTTCGTGCCATTTCATACACACTAATAAAGGAATTTCATGCCATTGTTTGCGTTTCCAATTTGAAACAACTCCATTCGCTAGTCGCTAGCCAATTTGATTTGGGAATGTGGAACGAATCCTGCCAACCATTTCCATTTCAAGAGACTTGACAATTTTTCGGGCTTACCACATCATATGAGCATATGAACATCGAAATGGGTCGGTTGTCAGGAAAACTTACAAGAAAATATGGCAAAATGAACGGCAATTTATTTGCACTCATTTAATATTCAACATTTTTATTGACCATTCGCCCGAAGCGCACCAAATATGCACAGTACCGAGCATAAAATTTGCGCATTGTAAAATAGTCGCGATTTCATTGTGACATTCCGTTTTTTATGACCATTCAACGGTTTATAGTTCAATGCTTTTTGTGGCGAACGTTTTTTTATTGAAATTTTAGCCCTATTTGTTTGAAGCAACGATCGACCCACTTTTGGAATAAATCAAAAGAATGATTCAAAGTGAAACACGCAAGCTGAATAAACATTGTCACTTACTTTTCGAAGTTTTTGTTGTTATTCTCTTCGCTATTTCATCTCCGCTTTTGTTCCACTTTTTTCGTCATTTTTTACTTTCTTTTTCCATTATTTCACGACTTTTGTCATTATTATTTGTCAAATAATATCACGCTTGACTCAATATTCGTTCGGCAAACAGCCAAGTGTGATATCATTAAATTGACAGTGTCCTGATTAAATATTTTGGCTATAAACAAGTTTACAAACAATTAAGAAGCATCACAAGAATTGCCATCAAAGAAATCGTTTCATGTCTTCATTTAGTTCCAAAAGACGAAGCAAAAAAGTGAATTTTTCTTGGAAAAATCAATTTCGTTCCACATTGTGTCACTGCTGCAATGGCATGCAAGGTGTACATTTTCCCTTCCAGTGCATCGTTAGCCTGAAGCGTTTCAAGTACAATTAACCTATTTTTCGCGGAAGAAAATTGTGTAAGTGACAGAGGGCGCATAATAAAACGCGCTGCGAATGACTTGGTTTCGGTAGATTGTCGTGGGCAACCGTAGCATATTGCAAGCTATAAAGTTCATTTTGTTGCAAGCGCAAAGCGCAGAAGAATAAGGCGAGAAAAAAAAAACAATTTTAATAAAGTTTCCTGAAAAATGAGTGTTTAATACGAACAAGAAGAAATGGCACCAAACAACAGCATCGAACATACAAAGTTAAATGGGTTGATTGCAGCGAATGTAAATGCTGTTTCGAAATGAATCGCGTTGTTGGAGCACACTTTGTCCATCGTTGTTACTGCTGAAGGAGGAATAATAAAAGTTAATTGTCCATTATTTTTCTGTTAACCAAAACCTACTTAATATATTAAACTAGGAACTAGCGGAAACATAAAAAAGTTGGCATTATTAGCGTCTTGCTTTCAAACATGCGGAGCAATGGCATTGATGCATAATTACAAAACGGCGTTTGGCCGTACACACTCGCTTGCTCGCTCACTTCCATTTCACAATTCTAAACAATGACGCATAGCCGCATTTAGTTTTTGCAACACCCTAATTGGGTGGCTTGAACTTTTTAATAAGCATTCAAAAATGGAAATTTTCCGTAATAAAAGAATCAAGCCGAAGTTGGTGCATGTTTTGTGCAAGTCGTCTAACAACTGACGGTTCACATGAGAAATGGTAATAAAGTGATTCTGATTTGATTTTCCATTGAGCGAGCGAGCGAGCGCTCGATGCGGACGTATCATAATTTTTCGCAATGAAAAACGGTCTAGTGCTAAACACTGATAATTAAATAAGAACTATACACAAATGTTCGACAATTTTATGATTAGATAAGCTACTTCATTATACTCCCTTAATCCAGTTAACGTCTTAAGCTGACGCTTTTATTACCGCTCATTGTATTTTTATATGGCTTTTGATTGCCCACTCTGATTATATCTTTCATTGTTTATGCGGCTGGGTGCGAACTACTTTTACTGGCATCGTTTCCACGAATCGAAGTCATTGTAAAATATTTCTAAATCGAATGTTTCCCCGGGAACAATTTCAAACTCATTTTGAACCATTTGAATTGTGTCCATAAATCTTGCGAGGGTGAACAAAGTTTATTGAAAGTTACTCGAAGCCTCGGCCGATAAAATATCACGTGTTTTATCACGGGTGAAATGCCAACTGACACTTTTCCACTGTCGATGCTGTCGCTCGTTTTAAATTGAGACGACGAAGAAGGCGAAAAAAAAAACACGACGGGAGAAAATGTTGTTATCAATTACGTCTACTTAAGGTGCTTGTGTAAATAATCCCGAGTATGAAGCCCATATGTGAGTGAGCGAGCGTGTCCATCGTATTGATGGCCAGTCCATCGATTTCGATTTCGGTGCCAAGCATCATTTATTATTGGTCATCTAATGTTTTGTCTCTTTTTCGTCGTCGTCGTCGTCGTCGTCATCGTCATCCATCGAACGATTTTCCGTTGTCCTTTATATCCCAGCTACTGATATGTTTAATGTCATAGATCGGCTTTGGTTCATATATCGGATTAAGTTTATGCCATCATTTATTCGGTCGAAAAAATAAAAGACCGATTCTAAGTGAGCCCAAGCAAAAGGAAAGCCGAAAAGAAAAGGCGAGAGAGATTACGCATTGAAATGAAACTTGAGACACATCGAACCAGCCTCGAATGTGATCGATTCGAGACAATTTATATTTACGGTTAATAATGTTGAGTCTGGCTATGCTTTCAACGGGACTAAAGCATCCTGGAAAAGGGATTCCAAATGCTCGATTCACTCGACCAAATTGATTTCTTTCTCGATTTTTTTCGACACTAACTCCACCAGAAATAAAGAAAGGAAGAGGATGAAGGAAAAAAAACGTACCACACCATCTCACACATGCACAAACTTGATTTATTGATTGTAACAACATATGTCACACATCATGCAATCAAACGACACTGAATTGCAAGAGACAGAAAGGACGAAAAAAATAGAACTACCGACTGAACGCCAAAATGAAACCATTTAGCATGAAGAGTGTTTATGCGTTGATTCGGTTTTATTTCTAAGTCGAAAAAAGACGCTAGCAGGCCATGATATTGTGCTTAAAAAAATATGTGCGATCGACCGCGTCATCTAACACTATGCTACGCTATCAATAAGCAATATCTGTTCAATGGCAGTTTTTTGTCCGTTCTTTTTTCCAACCAAAAGCTGCCACATCACATGAACCATTATTTTCCCATGGTAAATGCTCATCACCATGTGTGAAATGATGCGATGTCACCCAAAACGAACGACGATACCAAATAGTTGACATTTATGAAAATGTAAATGTAAGTTATACTTGCGAAAATAGTCACTTCCGACACGCGTGTGTGTTTGTGTGTGTGTGGGAACCAAACATTTAATCGATAAACACCAACATAAAACGATTTTCAACGACTTTTCCCATTTTGAATGCTTTTGCGTGACAATAAGCCAAGCACATCTTGACTTTTCGATAACTCACATGAAAAATGGCATTTTTCACACTTACGAAAATGCGAAGGAGCATGCATTGAACAGTAATAGAAAAATGATTTTTTCGATAAAGCAAATCAATTCAATATTGAAGCTTTGTCAATTTTGCACTATAATCATTCATGATATGACTAATGATGGTGATTGGAAGAAGAAATGGGAATCAATTTAGAAAAAAAAAAACATTTTTCAAAAATTAGGCCAACAGTTCAGTCTAGAAAACGATTTTGATTTAAACTTTGCAAAATCAAAGCAAACATTCCATTCCATTCCATTTAATTGCATGTTTGGAAAAATGATTTCGATAAAAAATTTCTGACAGCATTCATTCAACTTTTTCCTACCGCTAATTCGATGTTTAAATTTTAATTTGCTTGTGTCTTCAACAGAAGTTTTTTTTCACTTGACTACAGAACCGAACTTTTCTTTTCCGTTGCCATTTCTATTGTATGTTGTCAAATTTGCCGTGGATTTTGATGGAAAGGAAATTATCAGAAACACGCAATAGTATTTAATTTGTGAAAAAGTTGTTGATTTAATGTGCCGCAAAGGAAGGAAAAATGAAGGAAAACAAAAAGTTGTTTAGCACAGAAAAAAAATTAGACGGAAAACAATACCTTAATTTCTGGAATGGAGCCTTCAACCATTCACCGACTGGTACATGTGTTTAACGAACTAGCAA